GCAATGCTTTGTTTTAATTAAACAGTTGGATTCCCCTTGTCCGCACCAGTTCTGAGTCGGCAGTTTGATGCTTAGGGAGAGTCCCACGGCCCCACCCGAAAGGTGGGGACATAAGACATTCTACGCCCGTCGGCACACTGGCACGCGGGCTCCGCCCTCGCCGCGAGAGCAGCTCGGGCAGACCACCGGCAGCCAACGACATCGAGGCGCAGACCCCTAGGCCCAGCCCCTAGAGCCAATCCTTTTCCCAAGAATACGGATCCATAATGCCGACTTCCCTTACCTACATTCTTCCTTTGACCAGAGGCTGCTCACCTAGGATACCTGATGCGGTTATGAATACAGCCGGGGGTGAGAGGTACCCGCAGCTCCAGATTTTCAAGGGTCGTCGGGGGCGCGCTTGACACCACAGGACGCGCGGTGCTTTGCCGGGCGCTGCACCCTATCTCCGGTTGATCCGATTCCAGGGTGGGCGAGCCGTCAAGAAGGAAAGAGAACCCTCCCCACGGCCCACGCCGGCATCTCCGGAGCTGCTTACGTTACCGTCCACCTCCACAACCCRGTTCGGGAATATTAACCCGACCCCCTTTCGATGTGCGGCGCGCAGTGTGCCCTTGATACAAGGTTTCCACATCTCYTAGGGCCGACTGACCCATGTCCCAGCGTTGTTCACATGGAACCCTTCTCCACTTCGGTCTTCAAAGTTCTCATTTGAATATTTGCTMCTACCACCAAGATCTGCACCGAGACCCGCTTCACCTAGGCTCACGCTCCAGGCTTCGCAGCAGGCCCGCACCCTCCTACTCGTCGCGGCGTCGGAATCGCCGCGACGGCCGAGCATAGGTCGCGCGCTTCAGCGCCATCCATTTTCGGGGCTGATTGATTCGGCAGGTGAGTTGTTACACACTCCTTAGCGGATTTCGACTTCCATGACCACCGTCCTGCTGCCTGTATCAATCAACACCCTTTGTGGTGTCTGGGTTAGCGCGCAGTTTGGCACCGTAGCTCGACTTTCTGTTCATCCAGAATCGGGATTTCTGCTTACCAAAAATGGCCCACTTGGAGCTTTCATTGATCCTCGGGGTTCGCTTAAGCAACCCCGAAATCTTACCTATTTAAAGTTTAAGAATAGGTCGAGGGTGTTTCACCCCCGAGGCCTCTAATCATTCGCTTTACCCGATAAAACTGTTCAACAGCTCCAGCTATTCTGAGGGAAACTTCATGGGTAACCAGCTACTAGACGGTTCGATTAGTGCTTCACCCCTACACCCAAGTCCGACGAACGATTTGTACGTCAGTATCACAACGAGCCTCCACCAGAGTTTCCTCTGGCCTCGCCCTGCTGAGGCATACTTCACCATCTTTCGGGTCCCAACGGGCATGCTCACACTCAAACCTCTCACAGCAGATCGTGGTTGGCAGACGGTGCACCCGCAGAGGGTTTCTGCCACTCAGGTTTCTTCCGCCTCGTGGGCTAATCACCCACCGGCTYGCATGCACGTTGAACTCCTCGGTCCGTGTTTCAAGACGGGCAGGATAGAGGAATTTTGCCAGCATCCCGAACACCCAGGAACCCGAACGGGCCCGCCGAAATAGGCGCGTGCTCAAGGTCCTCGACTGCCGTGACGGCCACCCGTGGGGGGTTTCAATCGCTCCTCACCACAATGCCGGTCACAGGAGCCCATGCTGGCAGGCACCCCATGTCCAACAAGGGGGGCGATAACACAGTCGTCGTCCACCCCTGCCCAGACGGGAGCGCACGACTTCCCCTCCATCCGCTTCTCGCTCGGYAATTTCAAGCACTCTTTAACTCTCTTTTCAAAGTTATTTTCATCCTTCCCTCACGGTACTTCTTCGCTATCGGTCCCTCGCACATATTTAGCTTTGGATGGGACTTACCACCCAATTGGGGCTGCATTCCCAAGCAACCCGACTCTTGGACAACACCTCGTTGCGCAGCAGGGTCCGGCGGTGGACGCGACTGTCACCCTCTTCGGCGTCCCCTTCCAAGGAACCTGCACACGGCCCGCTGCAGAGGTTGCCTCTCAAGACTACAATTCAGGGCGCAGCACAGCCCCCGAATTTTAAGTCTGGGCTATTCCCGGTTCGCTCGCCGCTACCAAGGGAATCCTCGTTGGTTTCTCTTCCTCCGCTTAGTTATATCCTTAAATTGGGCAGGTGCTAGCGCCTGACTACTGATCAAAAGGCAAGTCCCGATGTACCTCCAAAGCTCGAGGCCGGCACCCCCAACCGCATACCCACCTCAAGATAATGGGAGCGAATGGAAGGCGGCAACCACACAAACCGGAGGGACGACCTTACGTGCCGTTTTCAGGGAAACGAAGACCACCACCCACAAACGGGTGCTGGAGGGCAACAACAGGGTGGAGCGAAACACACCACTTTGGGCTGCGGCCCCCACAGGCCCGCTCGGAATGCTTTCCAATTCCCTTCCACTTTAGGCTATCGACGCTCTCCAAGTGGGAAGCGAGGGAAGCCACGACCACGAACCCCACCACTCAACAAAACCGAAGGTGCTGAGGTCGTGAGGAATCCAATGATGCTCAGGCGGGCGTGCCCTCAGAAGAACCCCTGGGCGCCACGAGCGTTCAAGGTATCGATGGGTCACAGATTTCTGCAATTCACATTCAGTATCGCATTTCGCTGCGCTCTTCATCGTTGCGAGGGCCAAGATATTCGTTTGCCGAGAGTTCTACAATATGGTGCCGTTCCGACAGGACCGACCCCTCGACCACAATAGAAGGGGGCCATCAACCCGGACAGCGACAAATCAGAGCAGGTACATCAATAAGAAGTTGCAAAGCCGTCGCCACCAGCCGCTGCCACGGGCCCGCCCGACCCCCCGTTCGGGGTGCCTTGCAGGGCACTGGGGAGCAGCGGGGCACCAAGGGTGCAAGCGGTGTCTCCTCCTCCCCCCCCCAACCCGACACCACCCTGTTCACGGCCAAAACCCTCCCCCAACGGCCCTCCACCCCGCGATTCAGACCACCTCGACTGTGTCGAGGACAATGATCTGTCCGGAAAGGAGAACCCCGTTGGAAAGGAAGGCAGGACGAAACGGGGAGGGGCCGAGGACCCCGCAACACACCCCGCCCCTAGCCTGTACCACGACCCTCGATCCCCAAACAAGCCACAAGCTCCACACGAAGCCTAGGTCGAGGCCGGGATGGAAAGGAGGTCTGGACAAAGCTGAGACGGGAAGGAGCGGGGTTACGTAGGCCGAGGACAGCCGCCACCACCCGACATCCTGCCCCTGACCCTCCCGGAGGGTTGTCCGTGCCCGGACCAACCGCCATCCYGACCAGAAGTCGAGAGTGGGGCTGGGCCGAGGTAACAACCTGCGGAGGCGAGACGGGATGAAGGGGGAGCAACGCCACAAGGCCCCGGACCCTGCCCACTCCCCCCACCCTCAACCTACACCATGCGCCCCTTTGCGCCCGACCGGCCGCCAACTGGGTACTAAGCCCAAGATGGTGCTGAAACGGAAGAGAAAAGCGGATGCAGGGAGGATGGGGGGCAAAGGGCTGCGAAGGGCGAGCAAGCCAGCGTCCCACACCCCGAAGATCAGCCATTCATGTGTCAATGATCCTTCCGCAGGTTCACCTACGAAAACCTTGTTACGACTTCTCCTTCCTCTAAATGATAAGGTTCAATGAACTTCTTGCAGCACCCCCAACGGCAAACCGTCGAGATCACCGCAATCCAGACACTTCACCGGACCATTCAATCGGTAGGAGCGACGGGCGGTGTGTACAAACGGCAGGGACGTAATCAGCGCAAGCTGATGACTCGTGCTTACTAGGCATTCCTCGTTCAAGATCGATAATTACAACAACCTATCCCCGTCACGATGAACCTTAAGAAGGTTACCCGGGCCTTTCGACCGAGGCAAACGACTCGTTTGATTCATCAGTGTAGCACGCGTGCTGCCCAGAACATCTAAGGGCATCACAGACCTGTTATTGCCTCAAACTTCCGTTGGCTAGTCGTCCAACAGTCCCTCTAAGAAGCTGGCCACGAGGAAAGGTTCCCGCGTAGTTATTTAGCAGGCTGAGGTCTCGTTCGTTAACGGAATGAACCAGACAAATCACTCCACCAACTAAGAACGGCCGTGCACCACCACCCATAGAATCAAGAAAGAGCTCTCAATCTGTCAATCCTTAATATGTCTGGACCTGGTGAGTTTCCCCGTGTTGAGTCAAATTAAGCCGCAGGCTCCACGCCTGGTGGTGCCCTTCCGTCAATTCCTTTAAGTTTCAGCCTTGCGACCATACTSCCCCCGGAACCCGTAAACTTTGATTTCTAACAAGGTGCTGGCAGAGTCATCCAATAGACATCCGCCAATCCCTAGTCGGCATCGTTTATGGTTGAGACTAGGACGGTATCTGATCGTCTTCGATCCCCCAACTTTCGTTCTTGATTAATGAGAACGTCTTTGGCAAATGCTTTCGCAGAAGTTCGTCATCYATAAATCCAAGAATTTCACCAATGACAATGGAATACGAATGCCCCCAACCGTCTCTATTAATCATTAC